AGTACTGTGGCAATAGCGTCTCCGTGGTAACAGACCCCCAACCTGAAAAGTTACACAGTGTCCCTTTAAAGATGAGCCTGTTAAAAATGCGGTTTTATGACTAACTGAACTGAAATTTCACAACTTGAAACAGTGCGGTTTATAAGTTCAGAGCCGCGAGTCTCCTCCGTGTAATTCACTATTTATGCGTCCAGCCTCTGTCCCACATCGCGCTGCATTATAGATAGAGCGCCCCCCTCAGGCCAGAGCGGGACAGGGGACACTCGGACCGCGGTCAATCGCAGCCTCACATCCATAAGTCATCGCCGCTCGCTTTGATCCGGAGAGAGAAAGGCGCCGCGGGAAGTTCTGGTGGCTGTTGCCTCTACGCGCCCCATACTCTCTCCTGTTGTAATCCATCATTTAAAAACTTGTTTCTCAGATTTTTGAAACTCTGAATTGGATTTCTTGTTTTGTTTTTGCCTGAAGCGTCACAAAACACTTTTTATTATTATTATTTTTTTTTTACTTTATGCATGAAATAAATAAGATTGAGGAGTTTAAACCACAGACTGTATAAAGAAGCGCATTAAGTGAGTGTGACGTCGCCCGCGGCGTTCAGCTCCAGTCAAATGAAGCTCATCGAGGGTGGCAGTTCGTTTGCAGCGAATCTGGAGCCAGTTTTGTTGTTTAGAGCCAATCGGGCTGTTAAATAAATGCAAAAGTGAAAATAAATGAGTAAAGGAAAAATTTTTAAATAATAAGTAAAAAAAAAAAAAAAAAAAAAAAAAAAAAAAAAAGTAACGTTAAAAAATAAAAGAAAATAATTGTAAAAAATAAGTATATTTAAAAATAAATAAATGTACAAATAAATACAAGTAAAAATTTATAAATTAATATAGAATAAAAAGCTTATACATATTTTAGCTTTACAAGTTAAGTAATAAAAAGTAAAAAATAAAAAATCTAAATAAAAAAAAGAAAACAATTGTAGAAAATAAGTATATTTTAAAATAAAAACAGTTAAATTTAATGTATTAATTTATTAAATTTAACTTAAAAAATAAATCTAAGTAAAAAAAATAAAAGAATATAATTGTAAAACAAATAGGTATATTAAAAAATAAATAAATGTACAAATAAATACAAGTAAAAATGAATAAATTAATACAAGAATGTAAAAATAAAATAAAAGCATATGCATATTTTAGCTTTTCAATCTCCATGTATGTATAAAAGCATTTATTTACACATTTATATTTTATTTACCTTTTAATTTAATACTTTCCAACATTTATTCTTGTATTTATTTATTTATAATGATGTAATTTTTAATCCTCCATAGCTAAGCCACAACCTTCTTAGCTTTTCTGGTGGAGTGTCCCTTTTCTCCGCGTTATTAAGTGTTATTATTTTGTCTGGAATGTTTCACAGTGTGGCATTAAACCTGTCTATCATCATGGAGACCAACTCAGACCAAGTTACAGGTCAGATCTGTGGAGAGGCGCGTCCGCTCACAGTCACAATGCCTGTTTTCCTAGGTGTTTTTAAGCTGTGATTGAATAAATGTAAAGTAGAGCTGTTTAATGCCACACTCTGGAACATTCTAGCAGGTTCCATATGATCTAACTCATAACTTCACTGAGAGGAGACAGGCTAACCACTCTGCCGCAGTAAAAACTCCTCTAATATTCCATAATTAGCTTGTTTTGCGAACCACTTAACTAAAGCCTTCGTGTGGGTAGCTATAGGGACAGTGAGACTTCCCCCTCCCCAGACGCCTCCTCTGTTCTTCCACCTACTCGCGTTCTATATTTTTCCACTTCCCTCTGTTCAAAATGCCGTATTATGAAACATTTTTGGAGCTCTTTTGTTCACAGTTAAATACGGAAACCACGGATTAGCGGCTGAGAATATTGTCTCTGAGTCAGGCTTTATTCAATAGGTCCAGACGCAGAGCTGCGCCACGGGGCCTACGTGCAGTGACTCACACGTTTCTCTATATAGGCCCAGTCACGGAGCTGCGTCTCACAGCCTATATGCATATGTTTCTCTATATAGCCAGGCCCAGTCACGGAGAGCTGCGTCACAGGGCCTATACCTATGGCAAGTCAAACTGTTCACATTTACGCCTATTTTTAACACGTTAACACCTTATTTGATGCGTATTATAAGCTTATTTGACAACTTTGAGCCAATGATGTTCATTTTGTCTTCTTATATACTTTAACTTCTTGGGTTCTTTTTAAAGACATGCAGTAAAGTGTATTTACCTTGTTGATATTACACAATTATTACGCTTCGTGGCCAAATCTACATATTTTCAGTACAACAGCATCATTTACGGACAGAAAGATGGGTTCGCAATGGGAGATCCACTATCCGCAATAATGAGCAGTTTTTTCATGGAGGACCTGGAACAAAAAGCATTCAACAC